AAAGAAAGAAAGAAAGAAAGAAAGAAAGAAAGAAAGAAAGAAAGAAAGAAAGAAAGTCAAGTCTTGCTATTATACAGTTTCATACTGGCTCAAGTCTGGTAAGGAAGAGGGGGTTGACAATGCTTGCCAGCATATTGCACTCAGTTCGTCCCAGGACTAAAGGCAGCGGCAATACAAATTTGTGCTTGGCCTTGGACTTCTTGTCCTGGAGGGCAATGAATCGTTGCCTTGATATTGCGGCCGTTCACTTCCAGTTTGATACTGTAGTGGACTTCATGGTACACATCGCCTACCTCGTTAATTCTCTCTTCCAGCATGTTTCTCCTCCGAAGGACTTCAAGGGATGCCTCGACGACCCCCGCTTTACGATGGCCTGATAATAAAATTTAGCTAGGGATTGAGACTTATTGGTTTATTGTTTTTTCAGCTCAACTCACCGTGATTCTTTGGGTGATCTTTGGGGTAATGCTGAAAGATCCGGCGGTCCGAAAAATAGATAGTTTCATAAGCGGTCATCTTCTCGTCTGGTTTAAATGCGCGATGCATATAAATCTCTGCAGACTCTCCCTGGTTGAGAATTCGGTCCTATTCGAGCATTAACGACTGACCAAGAGAGGGATGACAGAAATATTGGGTCTCCAGGGCGACTTAGGTGTGCAAACCTACCTTCCTAATAACCCAGTCCATGCAATCTCTTACATACTTCTGTCTATTTAGAGTATTATGGAAATAATGGGCCTCTAAATGTCCCCGAAATCTCTCGTTGTATGGTTCACTGAGGCATACTCCGAGATTCAGCCTGAGCTTCCGACGTGGGCCGTCCTCCTTATTTAGGGCGCGAAGAACACCGCCCCGAGATACTGCAGTAGTCATGTCTCTTGGATAAACGGTTAGCTTCATGGGCGGCATGAATATTAACAGGGAATAAGTTACATGTCCTGATCCAGATGGATGACGCTAAGTTTATCTGACCCGAAAGTGTCGTTGAGGCAACGCTTCAGAGCCGGCGATCCGGAAAATCCACCAAGGAGTAGAATGGCCTACAGCTATTAGCAACAGCTAGTATAATCACAACGGGGTGGGTGCGTCCAGGGACGGCAGACGGCACTAGGCGGCTTTACCTCGACCTCTTGGCCACGAAGTTGCTCCAGCTGTTCGGTGATCAATTTCACTGTTCCTTCTAAACTTCGCCTGAAGTAGTTATTCATTTGGTCCCTATAATACCGTCAGAAGGTGGATATATTGTAGTCTTGCTGGTGTCATACTTGGTGACGAAAAGTATCCCAGTTCCAAAATTCCTCGTCGAGTCCTCCCTTAAGCCGAAAATGCGCAGCTCTCTACTCTCTCCCTCCTCCCAGTCAGCCGGGTCGTAGATTCGTTTTCTCTCGTGTTCGAAGGCTCGAAATAGGTCTTCTTGAAGGACTGCTTCCTTGGAATACCTGGGCTCCCTGCCCAGCTCAATGATGTGTGCCAGCCTTTCTCTAGATTCTTCAATAAACGCCTGGTTTATATAGCTCGAACCGCAGTCCTTCCCTGTTAGCATTGTTAAAATACTGTTCAGTATAGGTACTAGAAGGGGGATTACCGGCTGGGGTGACTATTTCATCGAATCTGAAGGGATCCTCCTGCCGTACCTTGTAGGTGATCGCATCCTAGATAGGCGTGAACTATCAGTCACCTATAGCGGCGGGCAAAACACAAATCCAGAGTGATCTTACGACGGTACCACCTCCAGCATCGCACACAACAAAGTTAGACTCTTTCTGCAGATTGTGAGTATCACCAAGAGACACAAGCACAGCGGTCATACACACTTTTATAATTTCTCGAATATTCTCGTGCCGCAGTGCAAAGGTCACTGCAGCCTCAGGTTCATCAATAATAAATATGGAGAACTCCCTTCCTCTCATGTCCGTTCTGTCCACTACCTCAAGCGTAATTTCCTGCATTGTGAGCTGTGCAAACGTTGACCACTTGGATGGCACGCATAGCGCTAGTTCGACCTCCCAGGTGTTATTGAAGCCCTCATATTTCCCCAATTGACCATGAGTATGCTTGAAGACTTTCATAAGGTAGTCCCGAATGGCGTCCCTGGCAGTTTTGCCTACATTGCGGAGTGCCTCCCTCGGCTGTGCCAGCCGGTCATCGTCCTGGTCCTCCCCGTCATCATCCAGCAACAGCTTCGGGAGTTGAACGATGCAGTTAATCGACTTTATATCATCAATCTCTGATAGATTACGTAGTGTATGTTGCACTTCATGGCCCCAAAGGAATTTCCCATCACGGTACCAGCTTTCGCTGGGCACAAATGGGCTCGCTCCATTGACAAATCGACTGGCCAGTGGCCAGTTTGCAATGTATCGGATCGCTCTTGGATGGACGTCTGTAGGAGGGTCATTAGGATCAAAGGCGATATATGAAATGGACGTCAAGGTCGTTCCATAATCGAGACATAGTAGAAGCTTTTTGGCAGGAGGAAGACTTTGCTCAGATCGTGGACTGTGTCGCAGCTGGACGCCATCCTCGTCCGATACCCGGCTTGTGGAGGCGCTGGTCGAGGAAGCGTTGGGGGCGAGTTTCCGCCGAACACGTCTTGGTGGGTTCGATCGCTGGGCCATAGCAAACCAAACCTGATGCTGTACATATAATAGGGAGCCCAGCACATCCAGGTGAATAAATTATCACGAATTCACCTTTGAAATTGGTGATTCAAAGCGGTGGGCAAGGCAGAGCGCAAGGCTGCGACCGATAGGCAGCGACCGATAGGCAGCGACAGTTCCTGGCTAAAACGACTTTGCTCGTCTGGTTGGGGCTGTTGCTGCAAGCTAACACGGTCTTGTTGAAGCCTTGTCTTAAACAGGCAGGCCGGCGCCAGATTAGTAGCACTTAGCGATTTAATTCAAATCGTTATCTCAGCTCCCGTCGCCAACCCCAACCCCCCAATATTATCTCACTGTTGATTAGACGAGCTATTCTATTGCTCGTGAATGCACGCTTTCATTTGAGAAAGTTTTTTTGCGACCCTCGTTTGACTCAGCGGCAAAATGAACCACCATCAAGATATCCCCGGAAACGGTGATTTTGAGGGTGTCAGCGGCAGCCGATTCTACTACCTGCAACATTACATCCCAGCGCACAAAATCTCTTTGGGAATCACCAACGACCATATCATTGCCGGTGCGAAGCGGAAAAGCAAGCCCCCAGCGCGCTTCATACATGGCGAGCGAGATATCCCGCAATTAGATAGATGGAAACTAAAGAAAAAGCCTCGAAAGTCAGCTACTACGCCGGACAAACAAAAAAAGGAAGGAACAGTATGTTGTCGCAAAAATAAAATATAGCAATCACACTGACCATAACACCCTTTGCCAGATCAGCGTCATAATCCCGCCTATCAACCTCGACTATGATTCGGGTGACTCACCGTTGACCGAACTGGAGGACCTGACGGACGAAATGGATGACTTGGCCTCTGACTCCCCCACTGATGATGCCCATGTTGCCGCTGAGAAGTTCTCCGAGCACCCCAAGCTAAATAACACGGATGAAGTTGGGGGAAGCCGGTTCGCACAAGAGAATGGATGTACTAAGTGTACAGGAAAGATGATCAATCTCCGCCACCAGGCACAACAGGCAGTCTTGCTGCGAAAGGAATATGAGACTCTCCAGCGACAAAACAACCGTCTCAGGGAAGAATTAGCCAACATCAGAGCATCGCAGCACACTTCCACCAGCGATCCCACAATCACTAAACTCTCTGTAGACGAATCTCTTGGCCAGAAGCATGAGATAAACAGACTTCGCCGTCGCCTTTCAAGTGCCCTTGAGCTTGTTGAGCTTGCCCGTCCCCCTCCGTCGTACGACGATGCTTTTGTCGCATCAACGGGCTTTATATACAAGGAAATGAATACATTGAGTAACTATGTGGTCTATACAGCAGATTCGCTCATCAAAATCCGAGTCCATCACGTAAAGGATGACACAATAAGCCAGGGTCTGACTCATCTCATCGAGCAAACCATAATCAACAAAGAGCTTTTATCCACGGAGCCCGTATCGGCGTTTCGCGCTCTTACTTTTGGCTTCATTCAAAAACGCGTGTTTCACGCCCCGGAGATATGGAGAGAACTGCATTTTGACGGCATAATGTTCAGGCAGTTCCAAAGTATTCTGGAGCAAAGCAGTATGTGACGGCTTGACTTCAGCCACTTGACATCATAAGTAATAACTTGGCTCACCACCATTTAATTTAACTTTAGTTTCACCTGAAGCCCTAGAAAAATACCACCGCGCAACAGTTCATCTTACCCTAACAAAGAATCCAGAATTTAAGGAAACGTTTGTTTCTGGGTACGCCGAAGAGATGCAATCCGAGTTTGCCAAAATGATGGCACCTTTAATCCGCTTAGAGGACATGGACGTTCACTTTAAGCGCCGAATGCGAACGTTATTCCGTCATGCCCTTACCCTGCGTGCGAGCTGCTACCCTCACATCGGAACGCGCTATCAACTCGTGCAGTTCAAACCAGGCTATGTATATGACCCGCAGACCATGCGTGCGGAAGACGAAGTCGGAGCAACCGTACATGTTCCGGAGGATGGTCGACAACGCCGCATTAAGGTTTGCGTGCATGGGCTGATGAAAGCCTATGCGGTGCAAGAGAATGCAACTGGACTTGACTTGATCCAAGAACTCAGCCAGCCATTTTTCCTGGAAGGTGACGGACATGGTCACATTATCAGTGATAAGGCAGCCGTTATTCTAGAATGACAGTTGGCTATACTATGAGGGCTGTATCACTGTCTTATGACCTGATATCAAAATTCTCGGTCAGTCACGACTTGGACCCCGTTGGCGTGACCAGTCGCCGGTAGGCATAGGATGGTCGTCCGCGTGCTTCAAAATTTATATCTCCAGCGGGCATACAGAGGGACAAGGTAATAACAACAAGGCGAGTGCCTAAAATGACAAGAAAAGACTTTTCTAAGTATTCTGGGCCCGGATTGTATATGGTAACCAGGAATTTCTTCCCAAGCCTCCTTGAGTATTCATTTCCCGTAGAGTGAATCTCCATTAGACTGTATGTCACTGGTAAGAAGTTCTTTGCAATCTTGTAGAGAAGATGTGGGTAAGATCTTATCAGACAAAACTATAATATTTTAGTCCTGGGTTGGAACCGATCATTATATAATGATTAACTGTCAAGGAGGTAGAAATCGTTGATTATCCTAGTTGTGTGATTCTAACTACGTGACTACCTTACAAAGGCGCGCGTAGGCGCTAGGCCGGATAGGGAACCCGCGGTCAACATATAATAAGCGCTAACTAGTTTTAACGTATTCGGTAAGCGAACCGCCATTGTAAGCCAGCCGCCATCTCCAAAACACATCGTAAATCCGATATATGCCACCCTTATATATCAACAAATATATTAATTTTTCTATCTGATTGTTTGTCCATGACTATAAATAAGGCTTGTAAATATTATATCTAATCTTCAAGGATATATAAACTCTATATTACTATTATACCGAAAGTTAGGCTTCTACAAGCCAGAAATATACATTTTTTTAATTATTAAATTAAATAAATCCCTAAAACTTCCTAAATAGTCTAGATACGACTTGAAAGGCCTTAGGCTATAAGGGAAAATCCCCTTATATCTCTATTGTTGAGATAGCAGGTTGTAATTTATCGGATTTACTATATGTTCTGGAGATGGCGGCTGGCTTGCAGTGGCCGCTCGCTTACCAGTTACGTTACCTTTATTCATAAAAACTTCCGGAAGCACGTCACGTAAGTGGCGATGCCGATTTCAATTTAATTAGGATCACCAGGGATGGCTTCTGAACAGAACATTCACATTGGGCAGTCTTTATGCCTGTTGTGCAGACAAGTTGCGACTGGTGGGTCACATATTCTTGGTATGTCCTACATTTTTTCCCCTAGCTTTGGCCCGTCTAACCTGTTCGCAGAGCCAAATCAGAAATCGCATACTGTCCCTGATTGTAGATATCCATGCGCACACTGTTCCCTGTCACGGTGCTCCATGGTCTGGTTTCATGCAGCGTGCTACGACGTTCTACAGAATAGCTACGAGCCTTCCAAGAAGCCTACTTCTGAAGATCTAACAAGGTTCGCTGATGCAACCAGGCCCGTTTATAAATGCGAATATGAAGAGCATAGGGAAACCTTGTCGGTGACAGAAGGACTCTTTAGCAAGTACACAAGAGAAACTATCCAAGACAGTTTTAGACAAGATTTGTTGGAGAAATTACCGGTTGAGTTAATAACTATAATCTCTGAGCTAATTTCTCCATGCTGGTATTTGACTGTACTTGGCGAGACACGTCGGTTAATTGAACTTTTGAGGGATAAAGGTGGAACCAAGAGTAAGCAGCTGAGTCTAGAACCAGAAATGTGGATGTCCACAATATTATATCGCGGAACCTCTTACGTGGCACAGCTCAGCAGCAGACCGTTCGAATCAACAAGCACTTTCGAACAATACCATACCACGCTACCTGCTAAGATCAGCAAAATTATTCTGTCAGTCGACTGTATCGGCATACGTGGGATACAATTCCTTGATCATCAGTCGAATCCCAAATCGGATGGGTCACCATGGTATGAGATTCTGGACGCGAGAGAGAGTGATTTGGAGATCTCTGTGAGCTGTGATGTATAGTTATCCAGCAGCAGTAGCGGCGCAGAAACTAACAAAATCAGGGCCTATTCATAAGAGGTATTCAACTCGTCTCAAATAGTCTATCTCCGTATAGAGCTTGGAGCTCTCCTTTCCCGCCTAAATTCCATCCATGGAACTTTTTCCAAGCCCGAGGTAAATCTCGCTTGGTCTATTTGGAAATCGATTCCCATATCCAAGGAGTACTTGTCTGCTGTGCCAACGCTAAGATTGTTGGGATCCACGGTTTCTCGGGCATATCGAAAGCATTCAGAGAGTTTATTGATCTAATAAATCAACGTACGAGCAACAGCTACAGGCACTGGATTTTTTTCCCCTTCAATAAACATGAATATATTAAAGCAGCTTGGATCCGAACATTCAAGTTTCGCCGTGGGCCAGCATCTAACCCTATCTTAGTAGTATGTGGCTTCTTTCCCAATATCTTATCTATAGCTCATCAGTAAGCTCCAAACTTCACTAGGGAGAACTATCACATTCGGACCTCAATTCCCAGCTCGGATTATCGATCAATACGAATACCGCCCTTTGGTCAGGGATGGCGACGGTGCTATTTCGGGGATTTTTCATGATGGACTAGATCCAACCACAAAGTACATTTCCGACGTTGGAGTCACCTGCAATAGCCAACATGGTGTTGGGCCGCTGGAGCCTCTGCCTTCGGATGCACGCCTTGAAACCCCAGCAGTCCCACCCGGTCGAGGCTCCATCTTTAGTACATGGTACATGACAAAAGCGTCTCTCAAAGGCGTTGTAAAGGTGCGTGTATGCAGGGATAAAGAACAGTCACACCAACCATGTCTGGGTCTTCTACTATATTATAGTGATGGACATATTGAATCGATTGGACAGGTGCGATGGGATCACGATATAAGTCGGGAGACTGTTAAGCCTATATACATTGAGAGCAGTGTAGTTGACGGACGAGATTACATTAAGGACATCCGATGTGGCATTTATGATACTGATCTTAAGGTAGAAAGAAGTGCATGCCAAAAGCTACCAGAGTGTGGAATCATTGTTTGGTGGTTTGGCCAGCTTGGTGACAGGATAATCACATATGACGACTAGGAGAAAAGAAGAATATAACTTTCCGTTCTGAGGATCAATATCAGGAGGTACTCCAAACTGCAAGAGCCAGCCAATAATTTCCATGATCCTAGTCAGATGGCGGGCGGTTAGCCTTCATCATTTGGGCGGCTTTACTGATCAGCTGGGCCTCTGAGGAGTGTAGCTCAACGTACTGAGTACCCTCGGCCAAGTCATCGGAGCCAAACAAGGGGGAAAGGTGAATATCATCTCGAGTGCACCGCCATGCTCTGCCTTTGGTGCCAAATGATGTGAAAGCATACACAAATTGCAGCTCAGGGTGCCCTCCGAGAGATCTCATACAAGCGTCGAATGCTTGGACCTCGGCATCCTGGACTTCCTGAAGCCCTGCGTTCAATTTTACCTCGTGGAAGACAAGAACCGCCAATCTACTATCTCTGCCAAAGTACTCTATCGTTATATCCACTCGTCGACGGCCACATCCCCCCGGCGGAGTCTCCGACGAGACAACCCATTCCTTCTCCGCGAAGAGGTGTTTGTTCCATAGATGAAAAACCATAATTTGGCCGATGCCCATTCTCGTCCGAAGCTTGCTCCTGAGCTCTCTCCCAAAGAATTTTGAGGACTCCGTCGGTAATCAGCGACATGATCTTGTATTGATTAGCTACAAGATAAGAAGTTGTTTCTCCCTTCACCTACCAGTCAGGCTTTGATTTCGATTGGTTGCAACCCTCTGAGATTTTGCGAAGGGCAAGGTAAAGGTGATCAATAACACGGCTGTTTTGCAATAGAGAACCGGTAAATTGTATTGGAGAAATTTGCATATGTTAAAGACAAGGTAAGCTTCTGGCTGAGGCGATGACAGTCCTTTGTAGCTTAAGGAAAGTGGCAGTGCCCAAGCCATATGGCATTGATATCTTGAGTGTAGTAAGTAGCAACAAGATGCTTGTTTTCCTTTACTTGGCATATAGCATCGCAGGCGGGTAAAATTTGTAATGTCACGAAGGCCAACCCAGCCAGTTACTGGTCCTTCCTGGTGCAGTTCTTTCCCGTTTGACTCGAACGATAGGTTTTACTCTGACTCTGAATGAATACAGAAACATTTTTTCTTTCACTTTTTCGATAGCTTCACTAGTAGATTGCATCCAGGTTGGATGTAATACAGTGATTTATTGCGAACCCAGATATTATGCACAAAGAGCCAGGGCGTCTAACCTCGATACGCAAATCGTCCTATCTATACAGAAAAATAGTAGAACAATCATTCATTGAAGCTTGAATGTCAGTATGCCGGGGATATCAATCTCTGTTGACCGACACCAGCCACATTTCCAATTGGAGAAAGTCGAGACGGACCGTCCCCGCACGGTCAACCGTGGTCGGAAGACCTACCGAGGGGAAACGAAGACTCGGTGGGCCGAATGGGTCCCGAGAATCCTATTCGGTGCTAGCCTGCATTGATCACCCGAATCTGCACGAGAGATCATTTGAGGTTGAACTCCGTAGATAAGCCGGTCAAATAAGGATTCCGAGTGTCATCCGAGTCGAGAGAAGTCCATGATGGCTATGCTTAATTATAGGCTATATTACTTTTATCACTATATGAATTGGACTGCGGTGGATTGGCGTATCTAAGCCCAACTTTGACTTGTGCACCGATACAGAGATATTTCTCACTCTTAGATATCAAGGACTGCTACTCCCCAGGAGACAAGCACATCCAATATTGTCCCAAGTCTTCAATAGTATGGTTCGTCGCCAACAGAAAACGCGAGGGCAAAATGGGGCGAAGAAAATTTTTGCACTACACTAGGCTAATATTAGAAATTAGTATATAATCATACCATGAAGCCGAATATCGCCAGATTGTCAAAAACCTTCACGAGGGGTATCCGGTACCCGTGAGGGGTACAATTAACATCTCCAACCTGCTTACCGTCTAGCTACACTCTATTGGGCAAGTTTTGTGTTCTTTATCGCAACTTTTTCATCGAGTATCCACTGTTGATACACGGTAAGTCTTTGGTGGTGGGCCGCGGTATCACGTAATTTTTACCGTACTTCATTGATGTGCACGGACCACGTGATTAGAACAGAAGCCTGCATTAACACTGAACAGCTACACTCATGCTCATAGACTGATCTGCTGGGGATAATCAAAAGGGGTATGGATTCTGGTTGTAGTATACTATATGTTGTTGTGTCTGAATGAGCGCACAACTGTTGGGCTGAGATAAGATGTAGTATATCTCAATTGGCACGATGCGGTTATATATATTGCGAAGATACTAATCGTGCGTGGTAGTACTAGCTCCACCAACATTATCCAACAAGATGATATCAATTTTATAATTGTCTAGTGGGTCAAGAAGAAAGCTCAGGTCTTAGTGACATTAAAATTGAATTGAATCTATAAAGTCTAGTAACCCAACCCATATACATATGTACATATAGCCGACGTGGTAAGAAGCGTCAAAATCATAAAACAAAACACCCACACAGTAATCACTCGCATTCAGCCTCATACTGTGACCTGGGCCTCATCTGTAAGGATAATAAGGTCCACTTAAAGTCTGGCAGATCCACTCAGCTTGGCAGAGATCAATCTGCCAATCTCCGGATCAACCTTGTTAAACATATCGACGACACCGGTCCTCAACTCTGCGGGGAGGGTCACGAGAGTTTCCGAGATGTTTGATGCGCACAGTCTGCGCTCGGCATCATCAAAGACGTTTCTCCACAGAGCTCTCGGCTGCACGAAATCTGCTTCGGTCACAGGGATGTTGTTCAATCCTAGAACAGCGCCCTTAAGGAACTCTGCATGACGTACGTCTTGTGTAGACTGCTGCGTCTGGACTGCAGGCGTAAACATATTGGGGTTGTAATTCGGGTCTGCGCCGTAGTTGGGGGTCTGGGTCAGACCGTCACGCTCAAAGGGAGCATATACAGGTGCCACGGGCCGGTTTGGTGGCAGGTGGGTGTAGTTGGCTCCGAGACGGTAGCGTTGGGCGTCAGGGTAGGCGAACATGCGGGCTTGGAGCACTATTGAAGGGTTTATTAGCACTAGATTCGAAATGCATTTAGCGGATTGAGAATGGGGTTTCACATACTGGGATCCGGCGTGTAGGTGATACCGGGAACCATGTTGGATGGAGAGAATGCTGCCTGCTCGATTTCGGCAAAGTAGTTGGCAGCCTAGATGTTTGTTTTAGTATGGAATGCAGCTCAGTTGGGGGGGGGGGGGTCGGGTTAGCCCTTACGTTTCTATTCAATGTCATCTTGCCAACCGGAATGAGAGGGAAGTCCTTGTGTGGCCAGACCTTGGTAATGTCAAAGGTCATCAGGCCGGCCTTCTCGGCCTCTTCAGGCTTCATAACCTGGATGTAGAGACCCCAAACTGGGTAGTTCTTACGTGCGATCGAATCGAACAACTCCGTAGTATGGTAATCAGCATTGGCACCAGCAAGGCGTGTAGCTTCGTCTTCGGAAAGATTGCCGACGCCTTGCTCGGGGCGGAAGTGGAACTTGCAGTAATTGAAGGATCCATCGGGAGCGACAAGCTTGAAGGTGTGGAGACCGAAACCAGTGATGCGACGGACGGAGGAAGGGATACCGCGGGAGCCGAACAGATGAAGAAGACCGTGGACACTCTCGGGGCTGTTGACATGGAAATCCCAGAACTTGGATTGACGTGAGCAATTGCGGAAACCCAAGGAGCAGCAGGTGTTGCCCTTACCATTGTAAAGTCATGTGCGTTTGTTTGCGGGTGCTTCTTGTGAGCGCGGTTGACTGCCGGGAACTTGATAGGATCCCGGACCCAGAAAACGGGCTGCTATGGTTAGTATGGCTGTTACAGGTATATCATGTGTATGTGATGTATCATACCGTGTGATTGCCAACAATATCGTGGTTACCCTCCTCGGTGAAGAACTTCACACCGAAGCCACGGACATCGCGAACCGTATCGGCACTACCCTTCTCACCACCAGTGGTACTGATTCTGCAAAGAACCGGCGTCTTCTTGCCAACTCCGTTGAGGAACTTGGCACTAGTGAGATGGGAGATATCATGGGTAACTTCGAACTCTCCCCAAGCACCAGCTGCTTTGGCATGGACAACTCTAAACAGAGTAAGCAATCAAGTAAGCCAAAAGTGACCAGCTGTCTGGCAATTACCTTTCCGGGATCCGTTCACGGTTGAAATGAGCCAGAGTCTCGAGAAGCGTCGTGTCGGCAAGGGTAACCAAGCTGCCACCACCGAAAGTTGGGAGAGTCGTGGAGACCGAGGGGTCCGAAATAGGTTGCCCTACAAGTACATCCGTCAGCCAAGGTTGTTGACTTATTATGTTTTATTAATGCCTACCCTCAGCCAAAGTATACTGATGTGGTGTCTTCTTGATCATGTTGATGTGGGTTGTATGAATGGAGAATGAGTAAATGTCTGACGCAATTGCTCTATTGTTATTTCTGGAGTACAAATTGAGGAATCTGGGGTTCACATCAATCTAGGCCCATCGCCCCTATATATATTTTTCTCTTAGATGTGGACCGACACAATTTGACGTCCATATTCCCCATTGAAGGTCTCCGGCCTATTCTCGGAGGTGGATACTCGGCACGGTGCTGACGCCTCATTGGGAATATTCGGGCTTCCTTATCGCTATGAGGTGTAATTCGAAAATCGTCAGTGGCACGCACAAATTTGTGGATACGAGAAAATTGAAGCTATAGTGGAGCAGCAAAAACCCTCACCATTTCCGTTTCGTGATGGTTTCCCCTCATGAGGGGAAAATTGAAACCCAGCATGCCGCGTGAGGGGAAGGCCAGTATCACGTGAAAAAAGCGAGGGAATGCGCGCCACAAGTGGCTTTTCTGAGTATGACTATTTAGAGTATGGGCGCTAAAAGTCCCGTGTTCCTGTTACTATGTCCCCTTTCGGAAGTAGTATCTGGAGTCCGATCGATCGCCGAACCATCTCCACCGTCGGATTTTCTACGGTCATTCTTGGTCAATCTTAGCTCAGCCTTAGCTTGACCTTACTTTCTCTGAATGCATCATATTCCATGAGCTATTTTTGAAAACCTTCACAATCCACCACGGAAAGTCGGCATCCCCCTCATTAATGACGATGTCTTTGAAAGTCTGGAGCATCAATCCTATAGAGGATGTCAGTATA